CCCCGGGTCCCGCCCCCCCCCCGGCCCTGCCCTCGCCGCTCAAGCAGTCCATCGCCAAGCCCAAGAGTAGGCGGAGCCGCTGCCCTCTCCCCGTTCCCCGTTCCCCGTTCCCCGCTCCCAGGGACCCTCCCACAGGCCTCGGGGTGGGAGGCCCAGGGTGCGTGGTGGAGAGTCTGTCCATCCGTCCATCCGTCGGCCTGGGTGACTGAGGCGAAGGGGCTGCCCGCTCCAGCCGCCCCTCCCGGGCCTTCCCTGCGCTCACCACCCTCCTTCTGCCCACAGAGGTGGCCAAGCACCCTCCCCATGTCTACCTGCTGCCCCCGGCCCAGGAAGAGCTGCATCTGCGGGAGTCGGCCACCCTCACCTGCCTGGTCAGGAACTTCGCGCCCGCGGACGTGTTCGTGCGGTGGATGCAGAGGGGCCAGCCCCTGAGCGAGGACAAGTTTGTCACCAGCGCTCCGGCGCCCGAGCCCCAGGACCCCAGCCTCTACTACGCCTACAGCCTCCTGACGGTGCCCGAGGAGGACTGGAGCTCGGGGGTGCCTTACACCTGCGTCGTGGGCCACGAGGACCTGCCCCTCCTGGTGACCGAGAGGACAGTGGACAAGTCCACCGGTAAACCCACCCTGTACAACGTGTCCCTGGTCATGTCCGACGCGGCCAGCACCTGCTACTGACCACACGGCCCGCCTGGCCGGCTAGGGTGGCCAGCCGCTCTGCGCGCACCACGTGGCCCTGGGAGGGGGTACATGTTATAAAACCGGAAATAAAGAGATCCGTTCAAAGACGCTGGTCCTGCATGCGTGATGCTGCCGCCCACTCACAGCCTCGGCAGGGCCGGGCGCGCGGTCCTCCCACAGCACGCCACACATGTGACACAGGCGTGAACACACACACGTGGCACGTGACCATCCTGGACATGCCACTGACACTCTAGCACACCACATGTGGGCACACACACAGGCACACCTGCACAGACATGCACGAACATGCCGTTGTCGGAACACACATGCACGCAGCACACGTGAGCAGTTACACACACATGTGCACATGAACATAGACAAACTCAGGAGTGGACACACACATGAACACGTGACGAGCACGTGCACTGACACTTGTGCACTCACACAGGGACACGTGGACACGGGGGCAGGCAGGTACACTGACACACGGGGCCCCTGCATGTCCACACATGCGTGCAGAGACACGGGCACACACACATGCACACGAACCTGCACATGGACCCGGGCACACAGAGGCAGGCGTGTCCCCATGAGCTCTCACACATGCACACCCCACAGTCGCTCCGTCCTCACCTGCTGTTCTGCTTCCCGCAATGCGACGCTTAGGGCTTCCTGCCCACGGCCCCACTCGCCCTCCTGTCTCTGCTTGGCAGTGTGTCCACAGCCACCTCCTCAGCTGCCATTCCTCAGGGAAGCCCGGGCCGTGCAGGAGCAGGGGGTCCCGAGCACAGAGCCTCCTGTACAGGATCCAAGTGCCCCGGCCCCTCCTGTGTGGGGGCCTGATCCCTGCCTGTCCTGAGAGTGTGGACCTCTGGTCCTGGGCAGGGGAGGCTGCCCAGCCGCTCCTGCCCAGAAGAGTCAGGAGATCAGGAGCCCATCTGCTTCTCACTACGCCAAGGCACGGCCCAGGGCAGAAGGCCGCTGCCTGGCTGGCAAGGACCCACAGCAGACGGCTCTGCCCTCTGGGCCATCTCCAGGGCCTCCCTGGGCTCTTGGCTCTCTGGGCCTGTCCATGCCCACCCAGGGCCCTCACCCACTGCCCGCTTCAGGCAGGACGTCCTACTCTGCAGCCCCTGCCAGGTGGGGTAGGACGTGTGACCTGTGGTGACCCCTAAAGGGCATAAGAGGCACCCCTGAGGAGGCAGGAGGGCACTGCTCGGGCTCCCCAGCCAGGACAGAAGGCTCGCTCCCTGCTCCTCCACTCTGGCCGTGCCACCCCCTCCTCCAGGAGGGTTCAGGACAGGGACAGCATTCCTGGGTCCTGACCTCTGGCCCAGCCCACACATGTCTGGAGGCCCACCCCCGAGATCCAGGGAGAAGGGCTCAGGGTCCCTGACTGCTTATCGGGAACCCTGCCCGGCCCCCGCCTGGCTCAAGCCCAGCCCGCACCAGGCTGTCAGGGTGCCTAGCACTGGCCTGGCTCAAGGCTCCTGCAGACACAGCCCAGGAACACCCAGTTCGAAAAGGCCGGTGGCAGGTGCTGCCGTCCCAGCCCGGAGCCGAGCCCCGGCCAGAGCCCCTGTGCCACTCCTGGGCCCTCTCTGCAGCCGCCCAGCCCCACCCCTGCTCAGGACACAGCACAGCCGAGGGCACAGCGTTGGCTGGACGGCCGCCCCGAGGCCATGGGCCCTGTCTGTGGCACACCCCTATGTGTGTATGTGCGCGTCACTCCTGGGCCTGACCTTCCCACCCTCTGTCTGTTCCCTTGCAGAAGGGGAGGTGAGTGCCGAGGAGGAGGGCTTCGAAAACCTGTGGACCACGGCCTCCACCTTCATCGTCCTCTTCCTCCTGAGCCTCTTCTACAGCACCACCGTCACCCTGTTCAAGGTTGGTGGCCCTGGGTCAGTGGCTCAGTGGGCAGAGCAGGAGTCCAGCTCACACCGCAGGGTGGGGGTCAGCCCTCGCACACCACACAGCCCCTCCCCCGTCCCCATGTGGGAAGCAGCTCACACTGACTCTGTCGTCCAAAGGTGAAGTGACGACGGGCGGGAGACCTGGGAGACCAGAGATGGAATGGAGAGGAGGGCAGCCGCCAGGCCTGTCCGGCCTGTACAAGCATCCTCAGCCTCCCCACCGTACCCCCAGCTTCGAGCCCTGAGAAACAGGCTTCTTCACAGACCGGGAGCCCACGGCCAAGGCCTGGGACCCAGCACAGCTGTGCTGCCCACGCGCTTGCCGCTCTGAAATAAAGGTGCATATTTAACATGGCGGGCATGCTTCCTGCGAAGGTCTGTGGATGGTTTCAAACTTTTTTTGCCGTGTGGACGTCTCCAGGGGCAGGGGCAGTGTAGGAAGGGGCACTGTGCCAGCTCACTCTCGCGGACGGCAGGGCCTAGAGAAGGTGGAGCCGCCGCGGACCCAGGACTCAGGAAGACTGCAGCCAGCAGAGCCAGCCCAGCCCAGGTCTCCCGAACAACTCGGCTTGGGAGACGGGGCTCGGCCTCGGGGTTAAGCTCAGTGTGCTCTGTCCCCCGCTGCCCACCGCCACCTCTGTCACCCTTCCCGGCTCACCTGGCCATGTGGCAGCCTCATCCCAAACGTCTGGCACGTGGCCACTGAGACCGAGAGGGGCAGGCCGAGCCCTGGAAGCTCACACCCTGCCCCGCGTCACAAGCTGCAGGAGCCCAGCTGGCTCGACGGCAGTGGGTATCCTCCGGGTGTGGTGTAGACACACAGGTTTTACTCAGCCTCTGGGTGAGCAGGGTCTCTGTGAGTGGGCTGCTGTAACTGCATGCCGCAGAGCAGGGCTTTGCCCACTTGCCTCGCCCAGCCAGGATGGCGGAGGCCCCGGGGATGGTGGTGTGAGATCAGTGTCCTCTGAGTGCTCTCTCCTGGCTCTGAATGGCGCTTGGGCTCAGTCCTCACATGGAGGAGGGAGGGCGAGGGTCTCTCTGGGGTCCTTATATCAGGGCACTGATCTGGGATCCAGGGCTCCACCTGTACCCCGCTCACCTCCGCAGGCCCAGCTCCTGTCAGGGCCCTGAGGTGTTAACCTGGGGCACCGTGTAGGAGGGCACGTGGCAGAGACAGGACTGGCCCAGGGAACCCAGCTCATGCCGTGGGCAGGGCAGGCACTACCAGGCTGGGCATGGAGGAGAAGACCCTGGGAATGGCAGCTGGGCCACAGGGCCTGGAGAGCTCAGAGCAGCTGAGACCAGGAGGGAGGCACGCAGGGGCTCCCTTAGCCCCACAGCGACGGCTGGGGCAACCATGACCACGGGCCGTCCAGGCCACCTGTGGGGGAAAGCAGAGTGGGACAGCAGAGTGGGGGTGGGAGAGCTGTCCTCAGGATGACACGGGAGGGCCCCAGGGTCCCTAAGGAGGGCAGGCTGGTGCTCACTCTGGGCCAGCTGTGGAGGAGATGGTTGGCCCGTGTGCAAGCCCTGTTCATCCACTCAACGTGCTCTGCATGCAGCTGGCCCGGGGCCTGAGCACAGGGAAATCCAGGAGAGGCGGAGACATCAGGGGCTCCCAGGTCGCCCCCTCGGCCCTGAGCTCCTGCAGCTTCTCCAGGCTCCAGATTCTTCAGACAAGCTCCTCTTGGGCCCAGCCTGAGCTGGGGAGGATCAGATGGTGGCCCACGGGACTCAGGGCCACCAGCAAGTCTGAGGGACTATGGGTGGGGTGGCAGCAGGTGCCCAGGGCACCCAGGTGAGCAAGCCTGGCTGCGGCAACAGGGCCTCCCAGGCCAGAGGGCCCAGCAACCGGTTCTGCCTGACCCTGTAGGCCTAAAGCTAAGGTCAGCAGGGATGTCTGCTGCATGCCTCACTCCGGGCTCCGCTGAGGGCTGGCAGCCCTTGCTGCTCTGTGGCCTGTTGAAGCAGCACCCTGTGTCCACCTGCATATGTGCTTAGTGTCCTACCATGTGTGGGCCCAGTTCCCCTCAGTCTGGACGCTCACCCAGATTCACAACCTCACTGTGACTCATCCCCAATGCTTTGGTCTTATTCGTGAGCAAGACCAGGTTCTCAGCAACCCAAATGGAGCTCCCATACAGGGATCTGACCCAGAAACAGAACCATCCCTGCAGCCTCAGCAGCACCATGAGGGGCCCAGGAAAACCAACATCCCAAAATCCAACAAGTGGCCTGGAGAAGGAACTCCATGCTCTGCTCAACTGGAAGCTTCTAGGCCAGCTATCAAGGCTGTCTGGGATGTGGAGGGTCAATGTCCTGCTAAAGAAATCCCAGGGCAGAAGTGCAAGTGAGGTCAGGTGTGTGGTGGGGCTGGGGTGGGGGGCATATCCTACCCTGGGAGGCCAGGAGATGTGGCCAAGGCTACAGCACATCACCTTGGGCAGCCCGAGGAACACCATGCTGACCATCTGAGTGCTGACCATAGCACACTGGGTGGGAACACGGAAGAGGTCAGGGACCTCACAAGCCTTGGATGAGGCAGAGCCATCAGGTCCCAGGAAAACGGCTCTGTTCAGCACTGGGGTCTCCAAGACACTAAGATCAGGAGGGAGCCTGTCAGGACTTGCTCAGCAAAACAGGTTTTTTCAACGGGGCGGGGGGGGGCTGTATGTGGATTCAAAATATGCATAAAAATAAACACACACAGACATACAATATAGAAAAATAAGGACAGGTGGGAGAGAGGAAGAGTTCAGGGAAGGAAATTAGTGATGTTGCTCAGCAGAAAATGTGAGGACAACTAATACCATGTAGTTTTTCTGCTCTTTTGGGGCCAATTCTGATAAACATGTGGCTTCCTCTCACCTGATACTGCTCTGCAGTTTTGATAACCATAGGCATCTGGTGCATTCACATATTAACTGCTTTCATCACTCTGCAAATGACCACTCATGGAACTGCATTTCCACATGTGTCTAAAGGCCATCATGTTTGTTCAGATTGGCTGTTCTCAACAGGAGTTGCCCATTCTCTGACTAGCCACCCCATGGCCAGGTGTCCAAGAGGATCCATCCTAGCAGTCCTGGACCATCACCAAGGAGAAGAGGATCCAGTCTCACCAGCTCTTCTGATCACCTCACAGTGGTTACCACAGGTTTGGAGGTGACTGGGAGAGGTTGGCCAAAGGGTACAACCCTTCACTTAGGGACAAAGTTGTCCAATCTACCCTACGACATGGAAGCCATAGTTACTAGCAAGGGTCCTGGCCAAGAGGTCTTTGAAAAGTACATAGAAAGTGTGCATTATGAAAAAATAATATATGTATTGCAAATACCATTTCACCAAATAAATTCATACTTTAATTACATTTTTCCATGAGTTTTATTCAAGTCTTGTGTGCTTGACATTTTCAAGGAAGTCGGTTCGAGGTGTCTCACTACACAAAGTAAGTACAGTCATTCATTGTTTTCTGCAGGAGATCTATTCCAGGACCCCTGAGGACACCAAGCCCCACAGACCCCAAGTGCCTTCTACAGTGGCACAATATTTGCACAGAACATACGTGCATCCTCCTTATACTTGCAACCCCCTCCAGATCTTGTACAGCACCTACATAAATGCAAATGCTATGTAAAACATTACATCATGTTGGCTTTTTGTGTTTTTCTCTTGATTTGTTTCTCATTTAATTATTTATCTATTTCATGAGAGAGAGACGCACCCTCAATAGGGTCCTCATGTAGCGACCTATCCCCAGCCTCAGCCACCCTAGATTCCAGGCCCCAGTGCATGCCCACTGTGTTCAGGGAGGCCTGGTCCATGAGTCAGGGACTGTCCATGTGGGTTCAGC